GTGTCTCCAGGGCCTGGAGGGATGCAAGGGGGCAGGCACTCTGATGGCAAGAGAGTTTTACCAGTAACTGCTGTTCTTGGATATACGGTGTCCATATACATCTCTAAAGCCTGTCTTCCTTCCCTTCTTCTTGGTGTTAAGGTATGTAGAAAGACAACAGATCTATAGTACATTTCTCTTCTGGAGAAATGCAGTCTAACAGAGAGAACGGCACAGAAGTTACACTCAGACTGCATTAGGTTTGAAATCAGTTCACAGAGGAACAGGAGTGCAAGGTGAACAAGTATTGGCGACTTATCTTCATTTTTTTGTGGTATTTTTGCTTCACAGAAGAGAGGAATATTGCAAGAGTGAGATTAAATGCAAAGCCATCTGAAAAAATCTTCACTATAAGGGCACTGAGGCGCTGGCACAGGGTGCCCAGAGAAGCTGTGGCTGCCCCATCCCTGGCAGTGTTCAAGGCCAGGTTGGACACAGGGGCTTGGAGCAACCTGCTCTAGTGGAAGGGGTCCCTGCCCGTGGCAGGGGGTTAGAACTGGATGGGTTTTAAGGTCCCTTCCTGCCCAAACCAGTCTAGGATGCTATGATGGCATTTAGCTGATGCAAAGTTACATGGCCACTGGGTGGGAGCATTCTCCTTCCAAGCCATTCTGTTTCTCTTCAGAGAAAGAGAGGGGCAGAACCTCCTCTAGAACGCTTCAGTCCTGTTGTGTGAGGGTACCACCTGTCTGGTGCTCATGTCCTCCAACCAGTGTTGACTATTATCAGCTCTCACAAACTCCTCTTGCTGCCCTGTGTTACTAATCTGGAGGGCTCCTGGAATTTTGCTGAGTTAAAGATGCTGTTTTGCCAACTGATGCAAGGTTTCTGGTGAATGGACATATTTCTTTAGGGTCTGGGATTGAAAATTGCTAAATTCATGCCACCGGGTGTTTCATTACAGTGTAGCCCTAACTATTTTTGATAAAAGGCTTCAGTGAAATAAACCCAAAGATGTGCATGGTGCAGCAAATGAAACCTCCAGCTGCGTAAACAGATCAATAAACTGGTTTGTGTTTGCTGACCAGAAGAAAAATGTAATTGCAGGTACTCCATAGTCAATGTTTGTGGGGAAACTGGAGTAATTGCAATAATCAGAAATCCAGTTTGCTTTTGTTTGGAGTTTATTCTTCAGGTTTCATTAAACTGGTCTGGTGCAATGCACAGCCCTCTCAAGGCTTGGGCTGGTTACATATTCAAGGTTTCTACATCTTCAGACTGGTAAGCTCTTCATGGATTTCTTCATATTCTAAATTGTCTCATTTGGCTTTTTTTAATGAGTTAAAATGATTGAAGTAATACTGTTCCTGGTGTTTAGAGGTTTGTTCCACCTTCCAGAATCTCCTGCTCTGTGTTGGGCAGCCATTAGTTGACTGAAGTTTGAATGCATCTGAACATCAAAAATAGCTCTGGGGTTGCCCCAGGTTCCAAATCTCTGCAGTTACTAACATTTGCAAGAGGAAATAATGCTTTTGTGCATGATCTGAAGATAGGCTTCCAGGAAAAGTATTGTGTCAGTCCTCAAGCATTTCTGACCTGAGTGCATCTCTTAGATCTCCTTGGATTTAGGTAACAGAGAGAGGATGGAGATCCTGCCATGACTGTATCTCCATGAGGGACAATATTGAGAAAGGTAAAAAAGTTTAGATAGAAGGGAAAAATACACAGGAAAAACAGTACAGTTGGAGTCATGTGAATCTGTTTTCTCCATTTGAGTGGGACAAAAACTGTCTCAGGGTGTCACAGTCGTCTCAATTACTGGTAGCAGTAATGAAGATGAAGAAGGCAAGAGTTCTTGGAAAGCTACTAAAGGAGAGTAGAATTGTCACCAGCTTTTATTATCACTTTGAATTAAAGTTGGTAAATTGGGTAGACATTAGCTTGGACATCTCATTAGTGTTATTTCTAGAGCAGAAAATGAGTCCTCTATGAAGGAAATGGAGTGGGGTGAGCTTTGTCTGCATGGAAGAGGACAAGGAAATAAGTGATTGGAAGTTAATGGGGTGTAGACAGGTCATGATAACTTTAATGAGTTTAACTGTGTGAATAGCTGATAACTTAAATAAGTCTCAAAAAAGGCTACAGAAAATTGTGTTTTTAAAGTATTTGAAGGCAAGCCTGGTGAAAGCGGAGGGAAAACCTCTTGTAGCTGGATTTTGTTTGGATCTGTCTGTCTGTGGAAGAGAGAATCCAAAGGTCATCTGTAACTAGAGATCCGGGGTTTAAAAGGAGCATGATGTGTTGACATGCCAATGGACATATGGAACGACTCTGGTATTATGTGAGATTATGCCGATGAAGACTAAGCCCCACAAGTTGATGCCCTTCACTGTTATTTAACAAAGAACCCTTACCCAGAAGCCTGGTAGGAAGCCAGTAGCTTGAAATAGGATTTTCATCTCCCTCCGGCAGAGCCATATTTTGCTTTCTCATTTTTTGATGTATTGCTATCAGCAGCATAACCAAAGAGCTCAGTTACACCATTTATAACACAGACCAGTGTGTTCACTGAAAATTTTAAACATTATTGTGGTTTTTGTGATATTTGGAAAGGTTTTTTGTTATTTTATTTATCCTCTGTGTAAACAAACACTTTAACGAGTCTCTGATCAAAGATCGTCCTGGTTCTGTTCTAACAAGCACCTGTTTTTTTCTTACCATTCATGTCAAGATGTGTTTCATCAGCTAAAAAAACTGATTTAAGGCTGGTCATGACAAACTATATGTGAAAGCAGTAGACAGAAAAGCTAGAATTTTAAGAAATCTTTGTGTTAGGTGATTTTACTCTTGACATGGAGAGGGAAGTGGATTTTGGATGTGGTTTCACAGTGCAGAACTGGTGTCTGATCCATAGAAGGTTGTGCTCCGTCTCCTAAGCACCCTGGCTCAAGTATTTCCATCTCTACCCTGAATGCATTCAAGGAACATTTATAGGTTTTTATTCATATACCAGAATTTCCTTTCAATTCATATCATCAGTTCACATCATCTTCACTCTCTTCTCTTGCATAGTTACATCCCGTTTTAGCTGAGCATGCCAGGCTGATTTAGTCATTGCTTTAAAAGAAACACTTCCTGCAACCTGATTATCCTAGCAGGTGGTTACTCAGCTAGAATCCCAGAATCCCAGACTGGTTTGGGTTGGAAGTCATCCAGTTCCAACCCCCTGCCATGGGCAGGGACACCTTCCACTAGACCAGGTTGCTTGAGTTCATCTTCCATGCCTATGTGATGGACTGCCCGTGTCCCAGGAGCAGGGCTGCAACTCTCAGAGCATCCTGTCTTTCATTGTAAAATCCTCCCATGGATATGGCAACTCTCTTCCTGGTGCCTTTGGGTCTTTTGAAAGAGAAATTTGCTTTTGGTAGCAATAAATGGAACTCAAAAAAATCAGGACATGCCTTTTTTGACCTTTTGCACATGGAAAGGGCATTGCATCTGACTGTACAGTTGGTGGACTCCCAGTTTTAAACTAGTTGGGTTCCTCCTCACTAAATGAAGAGTGAAAGATAGAGAGTAGCAGTCTTTTCCTTTTTTAACCACACGTGCCATTTGCACTCATTTTTGGACATCACCTTCATTGTTGTATCAGAATCTTCACTGATGGATCTGCTCCAGCTTTTTGTTTTCATGTACTTGAAAAATTCAGTATCGGTGGTTTCAGGAGGGTTGAGATCCCCACAATACCTGGTGACTGCAGAAACCTGCTCTAGCCAGGGTCAAGTCTTCACTTGGGTTTTCACACTGGCTATATTGCCTTCTCCACTTGTACACTGGACTTTGCCACCATTTTCCTCCTAGCTTTGTCCACAGCCCAACCTTCACCTCATGCTAAAGGCAATGTTCTCACTTCAGGATTGATGTAGAGGTCAGGGATACATCGTCTGTGAGCAGTGCATCTTGCATTCAAGCAGTAACGGTTGCATTGGATACAAAGCACTTGGATTGAGGAGGGTCTTCATGGGATATAGCTACTGCTCCTTTTTGTTGTGTGGTTTCTGAAAATGACTTGGGAAGATGAGGTGGGAGCAGAATGTAGGTCTGGGAGCCCGTGTGTGTTCGTGGTACAGCAACTGGAGCAAGACGTGTGTGTGACCATTGTGTGACTGCTGGAGAAGATGGAGCTGCACAAGGGGATGAAGGGACCTGGAAACTGGGGGTGTCTGTATGTGTGTGTATATGACTCTAAGGCAAGGATGAGACCACATGAGGATCTGGTGACTAGAGGGACCAGGGAAGTCCCAGCCAGCTGCTGGAGAGATGTTTGAGTCTGGGGTTGACCAACACTGCCTGTGTGTCTGTGCACATCCATGTGTAGGTGTGTGTAGGCTTCAGGCACCTGGGAAGACGCCTGAAATCCAGTGTAATCTGAGTGCCCAAACCCAGCTGCTGGAGGCATCCATGCTCCACCTGTGCAGGTGTAGACATTCCCCCTAACTCGGCCTCTTCCCCTAACAGTATCTTGAAGTTAGTGTTTCTCATTCTGAAGACACAACTCATTCTTCTCATCCTGAAGTCATTCATGTGACCTCTTGTCTGGGACTGTAGCAGTAGGACAAGGGATGATGGGTTAAAACTTAAACAGGGAAAGTTCACGTTAGGTATAAGGAAGAAGCTCTTCCCTGTGAGGGTGCTGAGGCGCTGGCACAGGGTGCCCAGAGAAGCTGTGGCTGCCCCATCCCTGGCAGTGTTCAAGGCCAGGTTGGACACAGGGGCTTGGAGCAACCTGGTCTAGTGGAAGGTGTCCCTGTCTGTGGCAGGGGGTTGGAACTGGGTGAGCTTTAAGGTCCCTTCCAACCCAAACCAGTTTGGAGTTCTCCTTGGACAGATAGTGTTGGTCACAACTTGGAAGATTTGAGGATAAAAGACAACAAAAGCACCTATTTGGGCATGGGAAGAATTAATTAACCAGCAAAGCTATGCCAGGATGTTTCATTGTAATAATCTCTTTTGTGTTTCAGCCCTGGCCCAGTGTTTCCAACCTGGCCAAGGATTTCATCGATCGTCTACTCACGGTGGACCCCAGTGACAGGATGACAGCCCTTCAGGCGCTGAAGCACCCATGGGTGGTCAGCATGGCAGCCTCTTCCTCCATGAAGAACCTACACCGTTCCATCTCGCAGAACCTGCTCAAGAGGGCGTCTTCCCGCTGCCAGAGCACCAAGTCCGCCCAGTCCACCCGCTCCAGCCGCTCCACCAAATCCAACAAGTCGCGGCGGGTTCGAGAGCGGGAGCTGCGCGAGCTCAACCTGCGCTACCAGCAGCAGTACACTGGCTGAGCACTGGGCTGGGACTTGCCAGGCATCTTCACACATGTCTTCTCTGCAGTGTAGGTGTGCAGCATCCACAAACTTAATGGGGTTCTAGGTTCCTCCTTCTCTCCCTCCAGGTGTCCCCCGCCATGAGGAGGTGTCCTTACCATGAGGAACCTCGTCATGGCTATCACCCTGCAAGCTGTGCCACAGGGGGTCTCGTGTCTGAAACGGGGGAGCCCTTGTGGATCAGAGCACAACTCAAGAGTCTCAAGTAATACACAAATTAAGGAGCGACATGGGGAGAAAAGCTCTTTCTGTAGTCCAGGAGCTTGGTTGTTCATAGTTATTTATTAATTCTAGAGCATTAAGTTTCTCTCACTTGCATATAAAAAAAGAATTACTTTAAGTGTATGCACACACACCTTAAGTGTGTGCACAGACAGTGTGGGTGTGTATCTGGTTTGAAAATGATACATACACAGAGTTGGAGCAGGTTTAGTAGGATCTGTGGTGCCTTGGTAGTGAGGCTGGTATGAATCATAGCATCAGAAGTAGGATAGCTCTGATTCACTGATGTGCTGCCCACCAGCTCCTCGCTGAAGTGATGCCAGTTTTCTGGGATGTCTGGGAAGCTGTGAGGTTTCCCCAAGGGCTGCCACCCACCTCACAGCACCGAGAGATTACTGGAGCTGCACCAGAGCTGCTGTGCAATTTGGGAAGAAGGCTGAAGTGCTGCGAGCTCGAAGCTTAGAGTCTGGCTCCTTGGATCTGGACAAGGGGTGCTTCTGGTGGAAGGGTGGGAAGATGATCATTGTCCTGCAGGAACTTAATGGTACATGGAGGGATGTCTTTGGCAAGACAGGATTTTGGGGGGTTCCTTGCTGTTCCTCTTGAATTATCCCTTCCATATTTGCACCAAGACCAGTGCCTCCCAGGCAGGGTTTGTTCTTGCCGTGACCTACCCCTGTCGCGTGTTTTTTGCCCTTAAGACCAGCATTACCAACCATGTCACTTCACCAAAGCTTTAATGGTTCCATGTCTTGCTCTCTGTCTGCAGGTTTTACATGGCTCCCCTGCTTGCATGCCTACTCTGCCCTGGTACTGCTGTCCCTACTCTGGGACAGTGAACTGGTGGTGGGAGATGTTGGGATAGCCATAGATGGCTCCATAGCATCAGGGTAGGGGTTTGCGTAGCGAAGGCCCAGTCCTGGAGTGTCAGCAGTGACAATACCCTGGAGACACTACGTGAACACTTTAGACCTGCTGGGTGTGACTTAAATTCAGCAGGAAAAAGCTGCCTTTCAGTTTTCTTGGGCTGAGGGGGCCTCTTGTGAAGGACCTTGCAGGGGAGGTGGGAGCTTTAGAGCTGAGCTTCGTGCAAGCCTGCTGAGATGCCTCCCCAGCTAGTTAGAGCAGTACACGGGCTGATGGCACAGTGTCAGGGTAGATTTGGGCTCTTGTGGTAGGAGAGACAAGACCTGCAGCGAAGGAGAATGTTGGCTTGGAAACTTTTCATATGAAACCCTATGGTTTGCTTTATCCTGTGCACTTGGAAGTGCTTGCTTGGCTCTGAGCTGGACATGCAGGCTATGCAAGCTTAAGGGCTGGTGAGCATGGCCTCTCCACCCAAGACTGATGTCTGTGCATTTTACTGTCAGCAAGGTTTTAAGTGGTTTTAAGTGGTCGGTCACAGGGAACTTCAAAAGCAGCTCAACCTCAGCAGGGGAAGATTGAGTTTGCTGTGCTAAGATGGGCTATAACCACTGTGAGCATAGCCTGTGAGCCTTGGTGATGGGGAGTACAGCAGAGGACTCCTGAGGACAGGAGGTGTGTGTAGCAGTGGTGAATTCCAAATCCTTTGCATGGTTTTGCGTGTTATTCTCAGAACTGTGCATGTTTTGCAGGCTGCCCTTTCTGTGAGTAGCTATCCTGTGTGTGGTCTTTCTTCCATCAGCTTTAGGGGATACCACAAAATTATGTAAAACTGGGGGGGGGGTTGCAGCTCTGTGGATTGAAAAAAAACAAAACAGTTTCTTGAGCTTCTTTTACCTTCTCACATAATTTTTCCCTGGTTCATTATTATGAACTGTAAGCTGGATGTGATTTCTGATACCTGACAAAACTGGCAGCTTGCCTTGTCTTGCTTCATAAACAATTTAGTGCCCCTCAGATGACTCTCCAAAAGCAGCAACCATGCTATGACAAGTAGCAACTGGAAAATTCTTCTTTCCCTGTATGTTGGGAGATGACAGGATGCTCTCAGAGGGCTTCTGGCTTTGAGCTTATAGGAGTCTTGGAGCATCTCGCAGGCACTGTGTTCCCTTTTGCCTCCTGGGTGCTCTCATGGCCATCCCCAGATTATTTTACACCATGTGTAGCCTCAAAAGAGGTGTTTTGCCTGTGTGAGGAGGTCAAAGTGATGAACTGAGCCAAGACCTCTAGAACCTGAGACCCTTCCCTTTAAACATTAGGTTATCAAAATGCACAGGCATTATACAGGTGTCTACCTGCTCCCTCATGTGTTCTCTTGTGGGGTGGGATCCATGAAGATGGAGACGAGGTCAGGATGTTGAGCTCTGTTTTGACCAGAACAAGAATCTCATGTGTGTCAGTTTTTGCTTTGTTGCTCTTTTCAGCAGCTGATGGAAGGAGGAGTTCACAGTGGTGTCACTTGAGGTGATTTTGGGGTGGAATATGTGTTGGGAAGCACGATATTGCTATGTAGATTCCTGACAGTGTCAAGTTCCTGTGATGATGGTCTAGGACTGGGAAGTGAATTGGCAGAAGGGAGGATCCTTCACTGACAGGAGCAATACTGGAAAGATGCAGCCCATCTTCTGGAGGTGTGGAGATGTTTGTGGTGCTCAGGCATCCCTCTGCTAGGGAGTTGCACCAGAGAGGACCAAGTCCATTCCATAGGGGTCTTTGACTTTTATATAAAGATAACTCTTATTTCTCTTCACAAATGCAATGTATTCTTATTTGCATGGAAAAATCAATATAAACACGGGGGAAATTTGCATGGGCTTTCCTTAGATCATTTTATTATAACACTCCTGGCTCAATCCCTCTTCTTTTTCTAAATTCAGCAGTTTCAGGACCTCTTATACCCAGACAATGACATGTGTGGGCAGAGGTGCACTAGCAGAGCTCCATCCAACTGACCCTTGGAGTCCTTGGTGATCTTTCTGTTTTCCCTCTATCTGGAAAGCTGGGGTGGTCCAAATGCTGTGTTGCATGATCCAGCTTAAGGGCAGTTTTTCTGGTGCTCCTACCCTTGCAGTTGTGGCACATTTGCAGCTGGATCAGAGGAGGCGCACGCAGGCAAAGTGCTGTGATTTTGAGCCATAGTTCAAGTGCCTTCAATCTTCTTCTAAGAAGCTCTTCACTGTGAATTACCTTGGTCATCTGTCTTCCATATATATTCCACAGGAGCATCTCAGTGCTCGGTTTATCTCAAGTCTCAGGAGTTTGTGCTTTTTAGGAGTGCCTTGTTTGGGGATTTTAGAAGCTAAAATCTGTCTGATGTGATGATTTTTTTTCCTGCTCTTCCATGAATTTTTATATCTCCTTGTTTGGCTCTTAATGGTGGTTCTGATTTCACTGGGAGGGTTTTGGGGAAGACTTCCTCTGCTGCTGAATTAGCTGTGAGGAGTCAGGTAACAAAGAGATGTTCCAGCCCCTTGTTGAGTTGGAGCTTCCTATTAGCTGGGGTGCAGATCTCCTGACTGCTTTTGTTCATGCAATGAAAATGAAGCTGGAATGACACCTAGTGGCAAATTGTAGTGTGTCAATGTACAGCCCTCTTGGTTTCCTTCCCCTCGTTCCGGGGAGACATGCTCTTACAAAGAGGACTCTGGGTTTGGTGGGCTGAGTGATGGTCATGGACCACACCTGCAGTACTTGTGTTCAGCAACCTTCTCAGCGTGGCACCATTTTATCCTGAAGTGATACAGTGATCCTGAAGAGCAATTAGACAACGTAAGGGTGAGCATATGCACCCACTGGAACTTATCAACCCCAGTGCCTCAAGGAGGTGCTCACCAGCACCCTGCCTTGGGGAGGCATCTTGGGGGACACTAAGAGAAAGAAAACCATAAAGACATCAAGGCTGGAATCACTAGGTTTGGGACTTTCTCCCATCATGAGACACTATGGTGCAGCTCAGGGTGTTGCTTTCCAGCATATTCTGTTTCAGGGGAATGCAGTTGTAAGGAGTAGAGAGAATGAAGATTGGTTGTCTTTTGGAACTTAGCAGTACTGTGTAAGACATCCCCATCGTTTTGCCCTGGGAGTTTGGCTCCTTTCTTGGGGGAGAAATTTATGGCTTCAAAGCATGTGGCCTGTCAGATCCATGTTTTTTATATACTTTTTTTAAGGTTATTGGAAAGGAATGTGGAAAGGTCTTCCAAAAATAACATTAGGTGGTCTGCAGACTTACATTCAGATTATGAATACACTATGTATTTTTCTAAAACAGCAGTTACTTATTCATGTGTGATTTACTTCTCACCCTTGTGAGGCTTCTAAAAACCTAACGTGTCAACCAAGTGGTGGTAGAAACCTCCGTTCCTTCAACCCAGGGGAAGTCTGTGCTATTTGACACTGAGCTTGTGAGCATCCAGAGGCTCCTGCCAGTCCCTGGACTGCATTGTTCTTGGAAATGCACAACTGTATGTGAAGGCTTTATAGCCATGACTGGAGTGCAAGCACAGACAAAAGGGCTCTGACCTGGCTTTGGTAGTGTTGTGGAAACCAGCTGCAGGGTGGGGATTATATTACAGATTTATGTTGAAAACGATAAGCCCTCAAACTCTTAACTTCTTTGGAATTTGGTTATTTTCTTCTTGTAGTCTTTTCTACTTTGGTAATTTACTGCTCAGTTTCTCAATCCTGTTTTCTGTGTGGGTGTTTGGCTGAAGTACTAATACGGTCAACTTTGATGCAATGCACAAGCTGGAATAGGAGACATGGGCAATGTGACCACTTGGCAGCAGCTCTGGATTTGGCTCTGCAGGAGCCATGGTGAGTCCTGGAGTGAGATAAAAGCATCTGCACAGTGTCCTGCAGGTGTGAGAAGGCTCTTTTGGGGGCCCTACAGTGTAGGCTTACCAAAAGGTGGTCTTGTACAACACAGGACAACTAGTGTGTGGCTGTTAATAAGCCTGTTATTAGACTGCATGGGACCATATTCTTATTTCAAGTGATGATACTAAAGATTTGGAGGGTTTGAGGTGGGTTAAATTGAAATCTCAAATGTTTGACTTAATTCAGTTTTCTAAATGAAACACAGAGATTGGCTTTTTTGGGGGGGATCACACCCTCTGTAGGAGTTGGCAGCCTGTTGTCTGGCAGCAGTGGGAGCCCTGGGACTTGCAGGAAGGGGGGTTCTGTTCTGGCCTCTCACCAGCTTGGCTTTATCCTGGAAAACACCACAAAGTGCCTGTGCCACTTAGTGCCAGATGCCAAGTTGCCTACACCACTCTGGGGAGGGTTTTGGTGCTTTTTTTGACTGCTCAGTCTCCTGTTTGAGTCTGTACAGAGATCACAGCTTCTGGGTGCTCCAGAGGCAGGTGCCTGCCTGTCACTTGTGCTTTACTGTGCAGTGTGTTTGCCACAAGAAGAAATGTGAAGCAGAAGGATGCATGGTGGCAATGGCATCATGGAGCTTGGTACCTTCCACCCTTGGTGTCCCTTCAGTGGAGGGAGCTCTGCCTGCATCATGGCAGCTCACTCTTCTCCCACTGTCCTCCCCTGTGTGGTGATTCCATGGGTCCCTCGTGTGTGACGTGACTGTTGTACTGTGTTTGTCTGCTGAGTGTGGAAGAGACCTGTGGCCCTGGGCAGGTGGGTTGGGAGTGAGGACCTCCTGTGTGGATGCCCAGGTGACATGAGTTTTCCTGTTGCCTTTCACTATGGAAAGACACCTCCCAGGACGCTGTTGGGCTGGAGATCTGCCAGCACTCACTGTTATTTTTGGAAGCTGAATTTCCGGTACTGGCTTGGAATGATTTGGAAGTGATTCTGGTCGCGTCCTGTTCATCTCCTTAAAGGGCTGTTTCGAGAAGCATCCAGTTCTGTGACTTGTCTTTTGAATCTTTACCCTGAAAACTGTCTTGTTAGGATGAAGTCTGAACCTTTGTCATTAATCTGTAACGTTACAATTAGTGTGTACAGAATTATTTATTTTGTGTACTCGGTCTGCTAAACATGGAAGTGTATCTGTGTACCCCATCGCCCTGCTGTCATTGCATTTGCCTCATAGAACCAGAAACCAGGTTGGAAAAGACCTTCAAGATCTTCAAGTCCAACCGTTCCCCAGCAGTGCCAAGGCCACCACTGAACCATGTCACTGAGGGCCCAATCTATGCGGTGTGTGAACACCTCCAGGAACGGTGACTCCAGCACTGCCCTGGGCAGCCTGTTCCAATGCCTGAGCACCCTCTGGGGAAGAAACTGTCCCTAATCTCCAGTCTAAACCACCCCTGGTGCAGCTTGAGGCTGTTTCCTCTTGTCCTACCCCTTGTTCCTTGGGAGCAGAGACCAGCCACCTCCTGGCTCCATCCTCCCATCAGGCAGTTGTAAAGAGTGATAAGGGCTCCCCTGAGCCCTCTCTTCTCCAGACTAAACCCCCTTCAGTTCCCTCAGCCCTTCCCCATCACCCCTGT